GCTGATCCCCATGTATGCACATAGTTCCATGTAATACGAGTTCTAGGCACTATTTACCCTCTACTGCTACAGTCACCAGAATACAGGCCAGGCTCCTTACTAACTTATTCCAAAGCCGATTTGGCTGAAAATTTGCTCCTAGGGGTAAATGACCTCCCAAATGAAGATTCATCTGGTTGGCTCGAAAACGTTCGGCATGGGCGCCAGCGCCAAAACACCCCAGCTACCACATTGGAAAACCGTTCCCACGGGTAGGTTGACCTGCACCACACCCACAACACGGACACCACATCTGAATGGGGTGCTAAGAAAGTGGAGCTTGAAATAAAGATAGTGCTCGTGACAGTGCAGCCCATTTCTGCTCGTCTGCACACTTCCCCCAGATAGTAATTCCCTCGGCTGCTAATGTTGAGCCTCAATAAATGGAAGGATCCCAGTCACTGGCAACCAGAAAGGGTGCTGCCTCTCGCCGTGTCTCCCCAACGGCCTGCCCCGGCACGAAACCGATTGTAGCCCGTGCTACAAGCGGCGGAGTCGAAGCAATAAATGGCGTCGTCGCTTGCATCCCCTACTTAGACGGTTTCAGCCCGAAGTGATAGTTTTGTTCAGCGGGACACGCTACACTTGTAGACAATTCAAAGCGGAACCGGTGATTTGGGACGTTTTGGCGCTGGTGCCTGTAGTGCGGGCGTCAGGCGCTCTCAGGGTGAGCGGAAGTCATATCCATTCAGGAGGTCGAGCTTCCTCTAGAGATCAACTTCCAGACAAATCGGAACTCGAACCTGAATTTTGAAAACTGGCAGTAAAAGGCAAATGGTCTAATCTAAATAGCCCTCTTCCAGGCGAAGTACGGCAAATTATCGCTAATCCTCATGAGAGGTAAGCGCATAGTTGGGCACTTAATGAGGAGAAATGCCATCCAGAAAGAGCGACCCTGGTTTAGGATATAGGAGGATAGGATTTATATGTTGCCTATGCTCACTAGGAGGCCATCTCCTAGTATAAAAACATCTGGGTTTTTCAGACAACAGGCTCGAAATATCAACCAGCGAAGGCATACAAGTATGAAAAGTCAGCACACAGTAAATCGATGGCTCCGCCGTCAAACATATCACAACCAGGAGTAAAGCCGCAGAAAAGTCGTTACCTGAAAGCCAAGGTCTGTGAAATTCATTATCGAAGAATGCTTCCGCGACTGACAAACCTGCAGAAACCCTATGATTTACAGGCCGGTGTGCGTGATGCAGAGGATGTCCCACTTTCCCGTCTCCAGGGCGTCAGATAAGGGTACCACGGTAGGCCACGACAACCTAGCTCCGCCTCCAGCGATCTGGGTTCTCCTTTATCATGACTATACAGCGGTGACTATACTGATGACGAATTTCACATTGGGTGAACCACATACACCGGGCTACCTGGAAAACCAAGTTGACCCCTCGACATATGAGGGGTCGACCTAGCAGCCCTGTTTCCTTTGGAATAGGTCGTTTTCTCCTCTCTCACAGACTCCTTATGAAAGACTTCTAGTCAAAATTACGATCAAAATTAGGATCAAAATAAGGTCTCTCTCGAAATTCAAATTAGGGAGAATCATCATCAAGGAACCTATTGTACTGTGCCCGGACAATAGTTCTGAACAGGGTAATGGCTGAGAGAGAACCCGTCCAAAGCTCACTTGACTCGTCCTATTCCATTCCTCCACATAGGGCTTATCTAGAGCGTTTCTGGCGGTTTCTTTTGTTCTTTCCTTTAATGGTCCCACTTACCACAAAATCTAGTGATTGTTATCCGTGCAGCCTGGAAATGGCGATCGTTGGAGCGTCTTTCGAGGACCTTAGACTGCCCAATAATCTCAATATGATCTCTGTAGCGCACCCCGTCTGATCGAGAAGTCGAACGTTGAGCAGTCCCTTAGGGATTCCGGATGATCCGGGATGAAAGAGGACTTATTGCCAGAGACACCGCTTTTCAAAACAAGACGTTTCATGATTTCAACCTCAAGTACAATCTCGTTCGCTGCGGATGCTGGGGTGTGTCAGCAAGGAGGCAGCGCTTGGCACGGCGCCTGCACGCTTTTCACCAACTGTTGTCGGCTGACACCACGCCAACCCCAGCCATCTGACAAGTCCCGTGGCTCGTATAACAAGAATTCATACCTTCCCCTTGAGTGCGCATATTGCGATGGAAAGAAGTGGGTAGTGGCATCGAAATATTGGTTTTCAGATGCTCACTGAGCACCTGGAAAAGCAAGGGAAGCCCATTTACCGTTTAGATGAAACCTCTTTTGGTTGGCTGAGTCCATCAGCATTGAAACGAGTTTCTGAGAAACTCTGGATTTGTGCCAGCAAATCGACTTAGCTACTGCCTAGGTGCATCCAAGCTAAAATCTGGAAGGAGTTTTGACAATTATGTAAACTTTCGTTATGATTTCTCCTATGTCAGCGTTCCGTGGGGAGTTACTGGGCGGGGCCTCACCTGCGTCACGAGTCCCTGGCGTCCCTACCATGTAATTTCGAGCTGAGAATGTGGTACATCACGAGCGGCTGCGAACTTGCGCATTCTCTACGTAGAAAGCAATCCACCGCTCAGGTATTCGCCAGATGCATCTCGGGTGTCCTACCCGACTTCCCGATTCTGCCAGCAAGGGCTGCCTATTGCCTGGGCCTATTTTTTAAGATTAAATTTACAGCATGCTAAGAAGCTACCAAGAATTGGACATAAGAAGAAAGAAACGGGAGCCCCCTATAAAGCCCAAATTGTCCAACTTCAAGTGAGGAAAGAGGACCAGCACTGAAAGAGTTTGTTTCCAATTTGGAACTACTTTCTTATGGGTTATCTAACTAAATCAAGAAGTTAGAGATTCAATAAGTCCGATGCAGATCAGTGTGAGGCGCTTGATCAGAATGCTATTGAGTACTCTTTCGGCGTCCCGAATTCGGCAACCTAAACTCGTCCACATCAGAGCAGAGCACTTGGCCGTCCCTGCCCATCACTATACAAATAGGTCAATTCAATTTTTACAGGCAAACTCCACAAGAAAGGCCGAAATCGTCGCTTCGCGTTCTGAAAGTCACTATCCGCTTGCCGCGTGGGTGAAGTCACTGAATGGCATCATTCGCGCTACCATCTTCTCCTCGCCCTCCTAATGTTACAAGGGAGCTGCAACAGTTCCTTTTTAAATCAGTTAGATCCCGGTTTAAATGCCGCGCGCACGACAACACTTGCAACGCAGGGTGGGTCTTCTGCACTGGATCATATAGAGGGACTCCACCTGTGCCCGAACGATTTCCCTCACCTGATCTTGCACATTGAACTCTTCAAACTTTCAGGGTGAAATACGTTAACATCTCAGAAAAATCAAGTTCTTCTTCAGTGATTAACCCCTTTCCAGGTCTAAGAATGAAAATTAAGTATGAAGACAAAATGGCACTTATTGATTAATAAATGAAACATCGGAGCTATATACGTTGAATCAAATAAAGGTTATGCCAAATGTAGTGCTGATTCATATTCATCAGCAGCTAGTTCATAGCAGGAAGTTTAGGATACGTTTTATAATTTGCGGCAGCGCTTCATCACAGACCAATAGCATTCACCAGCGTTCCGAGCGTCAGTTACTAGGGAAGTATAGGTACGGACCTAGCGCTGCCAGCGTCTACTAGCGTCCACCAAACAAACGCTAGTCGGAGAGTATGAGTGCGAATAGCGGGTAACCAACTGAATTGCCATATCCTTCTCATCTCGCGTATCAGGGTAGCTGTCTGTTACCCTCCAATGCTCACTACCAGCAGTCCGTTACCCTCCTATCTCACCATGCTCCACCAGCTGTCTGCTCCCGAATGCTGGTAAACGCTGGTGAACGCAGCCGCAGAGTATGGACGCAGTTGAACTACGCACGATTGTAGTTCATTTGAGCTTCATAACCATTGTAGGGTTTTTCAAAACCCACGGTCAGCCAAAAAAAAAGTTCTTTTAAGCCCTAAGGCAGCGTTCAGACTTCGCGAAAGCAGCGCTTCGGTCGCACGTTTGACGCGATCGATGCAGTTGAAAGCATGCGCATCGATCGCCCGGTCCAATGCGAGCCGAAGCGCGTGCCAATCGTGAAGTGTGAACGGCTGCCTAATAGGACTCCGCGCACAATGGATGAAGTGTTTCTCCCCAGCTTTCACGGCTTACACTTTGATTGCCGTATTGAGACTTTGGAGTAAGGTAAACAAGGGTAAGAGAATCATCACTTCCTAACTCAGTCAGTGAAGTTGCTATGACCTGAAAGTGGCACTACCAAGCTGGAAATCCCAACATACGGCGAAACTGGGTAGCTGTAAGGGATAATGGTCGCATCTGACCGGGGAATTTTTTTTGATTGCTGGTTCTTCCAGTTTTACAAACACTATCCTTCTCCCCTTCCACTTTATCGAAGTCCGCAAAATTTCTACCACCCGCTATGGAGTAGCTTTACTTCGGCCTGTGCTGTTTGCTTTGTCCATCAGAAACTCGGTTCGGCCTAATGAACTACTGTCCAAAGAGGTCGGGTCAAGGCTGCGGGGGGTACGGCACGGGAAGATGTAATGGAGCCACACTTTGACCTATTGCCAAGCCCAGGCCGACGCGCAGTGTCGAAGTTTGGCGGAGCCATCGCGGAGAGTTTTTATTTGTGGTAGTGTTTCATCAGCGACTCGCTGGATGCAAGTTATAACGATTTTTTCGCGGCGCGCCAGGTAACTGTTTCAGAGAAGCCTGTTACAACTGCCCGCTAACTACTCCTTCTCACAGCATCACCCAGCAACGCATGCGTGACCAAACACTCAGCATCGTGCTGTGCCCAGTGTCGGAGCCTGTCCAAAACAGACAATATCAGCGTAGCAAAAGAATTGGCACCCACTCTACCGACATCTTTTAATTTTCATTTCATTCATTACATATAATTACACAATTTTTTTCCTATACAAAAGTTTCATTTCTTGATCAACAGCGTATGTACAAACGAGGAAGGTTCCGACTCAGCTCACGGATACTTCCGCGGGCGACCTCGAGGACGTGGGAGTATCACCGTGTTCTAAAATTTTTTGCTCAGTGAAGACAAGCCTCTATACTAGAAATTAAAAGCAATCATTCTTGAGGACACTGAGGCTCACTTCTTTAAAAAGATGTGAGGCCCTTCACTAAACCCGATTCCAAAATTGAAATTGACATTTTACGAACAGCCCATTCTGACCATGACAACTTCAAAGGAAATCAATAGGGCTGCGTTCATACTTTGCGGCAGCGTCCACCAGCGTTTCGAGCGTCCGGCAGCGTCAGCGACTAGGAAAGTATAGATATCGATCTAGCGTCTGCCAGCGTCTACCAGCGTCCACCAGCGACCAGCAGCAGACTGCTGGTAGAGAGTATGGGCGATAGGAGGGTACCAGCTGTCTGTACCCTCCTGTCGCACTATACCCTCTACCAGCTGTCTGCTGATAGAGAATAACGGTATGGCGCGACAATAGGGTATCAGCCAGCTGGTAGAGAAGGGCGAGACAGAAGGGTAAGGGATATCTCCACGATACAGCTGTCTGCTACCTTTCCACTTCCCCATACTCTCCACTCCTGGTCACTGGTGGACGTTATTAGTCGCTGGTGGACACTGGCACGAAGTATGAACGCAGCCTAACTGATATAAAACCAATAGTCAAAATAGTGCACCGTTTGACCCTGCTCCACTAGATTTAGAAATGCTGAAGGGATTCGACCCAGAAGGTGTAAACCATTCCAAAGCAACAGAAGTTTTTTTCCTGCATGTTTGCAAAAGCGGCAGATGGTCCTCGGAAAGAAGTCGAAATTGCGGAAGTGAGGTGAAGCTCAAGCAGCGGCACAACTAGGCCTGATGCTCCGGATGATCAAGCGATTCTTATCAAACAATGGCTTTTTGAGTCGCGCTGTTAATCTCTAGAAGCTTGCACTTGGAGCACATACTCAACGACCCAGAAAAAACGCTCATGATGGGTTAATTCACATAGATTATTTCGACCGGATTCTGCGTTGAAAAAAACTATCCAGTCGAAAAAAAAACGAATAAAGTGACAACTAACATCTGTTCTGGAAGAATATTCCTGTTCGAAACTTCTCCCGTCCTCTTCACTTGAACGATTTTTTTGTCCACAAAGAGTCTGATATGCCATCCTGAAAGCTACTGTTTGTAAGCGTCCAACAAAAACGGTCCTAGCTCATGTAAAAGGAGATGTTGAGGCATTGTTCAGTCTGTGACCTGGGTGAAATGAGAAACACAAGGAACTAAACGAGATAGGATAGGCCCATGACAGGATGCGGATCGACTCGGTTGAGTCCGCTATGTCGAGAATCGCAGAACGGCACGCCACCAGGATAAGAAACTTTTCATCAATACAAGGCCCTCTGCTACCCCCCCCCCCCCCCATGCTCCCGCCCCTACCTCCCACTGTGGTCTTCTCCAACTTTCAGCGGGGCTCTGGCGCCCCGGTCGCAGAATCGCGTCAAAGAAAAGCACCAACGAGTCTCCCTCTCGCTACCTCTCTATCTAAGAGTACAGAAAATGAAAAATATGACTGCTATTTCCCCGACTCCCCTATGCGGCCACAACTCTGAAAAATGCCTCATATAAAAAAAGTAACAAACCGTCGTATCCCTTGTACAACATTCTGATCATATCGTGAATCGTTATTTTTGTACAGCACTCGCAGTAGAGCACCAACTGGTGGACCGTCTTAAAAGGAGTGGAAGCATACTTTTTGGTTACAATCAAGTCAAAGGGAATGTCAAAAATACTGTCGAACGAAGCGCACCTTCTTGTTGCCTTCTTGAAGGCACATGAGTGGATGTCCCTTCGCAGGGTGTGCACTTCTCCTCCCTTTGCTTACGAGGTGATACGTATGGTTGTTGTGAGGAAGTCTGGGGTTCGTTCACTTCCTTGACAACCATCTCCGCAACGGGAACCACCTTTCGCACCTAAAATAGTAGTCTATATTAGCTGTGAAGACCGAACTTCATCTGAAGCACCATCTGCAGATGATGGGCGTGTCAAAGCGCAGCGTTCGGCGCGCTTTCAGCCCATTCTCCAATACTGCTGAAGAGGACAAGTGACATCTGGTGGATAACGACTGACACGAACAATATGATACTGTCTAGTCGCTTAACGGAAGAAAAAAAAAAAGAAACGGATTGGCGCTGCGCCGACACGCTCCATTAGTAACACTTAGGCGGATTATACAGCGGTGAACCAAAAAGTTCTGGCAATTTCGTGTTTGTGCGTTTTTGAATGGCCATTATGGTCTGTTTTCTCTCCGATGGGTTATTTGTATTCCGCAAGCCATTTCGAAATACCCGTAACGCAGTCAATCTATCCAATACTTTCGAGTTTCGTCCTCCGCACTGCCTCGAAAAAATCAAAAAGTTGCAGTTGTTGAAACCCATCTTCTGGTCGGTGCTTGTTGCTTGAAGAATGTGCTCGCCACCGACGAGAAAAATTTTCGATCACAACTACCGGAATTGTTGTCTGCTCCTCAGAAAAGGTCAACAGAAGGCAACGGCTGTGAAATCCGTCGGACGCAGACTCTTTCCAGCCTCAGTCACGGTCTGAGGCGGGATCTGTGCCACCGGAAAGACCTCTCATTTCTTCATCGAGCGCATCGTAAAGATTAATGCTGTCTACTCCCAACAACGCGTTCTCCGCGATGTACTGAAGCCATGGGTGTCGTAGCACTTCGGCCCGGAATGGCAGCACGTCGCTTGCAGCAAGACCTGGGACGCGAGCACATCCTGCCAAACCCACGAACGCTTGTGAAGAGCTGCTTTCCCGATTTTGGGGCAAGGACGTTTGGCCTCCCAACTAGCATGGTCCGAACCCCATGGATTATTCCATCTGGGTCGAAAAATCTCAGGAATTCGATGCGCAACGGTTTACCACCTGAAAGTGGCGTTGCTGCGTGTTTGGGACCAAACTACAGCAGAAGAATGCGCGACCATTGTCGGACACTTTGGAAAACGACTACGTAAATGTGTTGAGGCTGGAGGCATTTTTGAACACTTGTTGGAACTTTGTTGTATACGGTCATTAGTACTGATTAGATGAAGACTCCCAGACGTTTAGTTGGCTGATTTCCTTTTTCGAACGGTATTTTTTATGCTACCGAAGTATTCCGAAAAATTGCCAGAACTTTTTGGTCACCCTGTATACAGTAAACTACTCCGATACCTTTCCAAGAATAGTACGCTTCACGACGACAATCTGTCCGTTGTCCCCTCTCCGCACTAGCACTTTCTGTCGGAGTGGAAGGCTTTCTTCAGGGCTGAAATGACTGTTTGAGCACCAGTCAACATTTCATTTGCTACCAATGATCATTCAAGCGCTTACTATAAGCACTCACTCATTCTTCACCTGACGAGTGGAACTGAACATCTTTTCGCTGTGGATCGACACCTAAAAATTCGAAAAACTAAAATGAAAACATGTAATTCGAAAATCGATGAAAATGTCGGCTTAGGTCAGACCTTTTTTAACGAATTATCAATTCTGCATTACTAAAACTTGTTATATGACTTAGAAGTCTTACCTGTGACGCTGGTGAAGGAGTTGAGTCACCTTGACGGTCAGGAGCGTCAGCCGATGTGGAAGCATCATCTGAAAATACGAATTTAACGATAAACGAATCGTTTCGGTGAAATAAGCGAGTTTCATCACAGCTTCCCAGGGGGCTGAAGTTAAAAGCTCAAAAAACAATGTCACTCATACTGGAAGGAGCAAAAAATAGTCTTAACGCTGATGAATCTCTTTTTGGGATATGCCGCTTAATTTTAAAAACATTTAATAGAAGGAAAAGAAACACTTCGGTCCATATAATGGCGTTCGTGAGACAGCCAAACGCCTCAAGGTGCGACTCATTGTATTCAGCCTTCTGGACAAACCTGGTATTACCCTAACGACCCACGACCCCTGAAGGAATGGAATGTTTGGCTGGCCCACACAGGATCCGATCTTGATTTCAACTGCCGGTGAGTGTAAGCGGTGCCCATTTTCCACTTCATTACCTCTCTTCATTGCGAAAAAAGGGGCTAACCTTCCACTATGACTAGACTGTTTGTGCATGCAACCCTCGAGCATTTAGTTCCAGCTGGAGCGCAGCCAGGGCTGCCTTTTTAATAAGCTGCGGCCTCATGGATGACATCATTGCTCGAAAACGCCGCCCTATCCGCGCTTCAATCCACATCTTCATATGCCTTCCCGTCTACAGGAACAGTGACTGTACGAGCTATGAACAACTTCTCAACTAAATCATTTTTTTATAGAGAAGGAGGGGAGAGCAACATGGGAAACTGCAATACTGTCTGATATACTGATGTAAGCACGGTAAGACTGCGATCTTGTCGACGACGCTCGAAAAATTTGCCGCACTTCTTTCTATCGCAGGCTGTCCCCGTTGGGTAATCTTAGATGATACGAAAAGAAGCGCATTAGGCAGCGTTCAGACTTCGCGACGGCAGCGCTTCGGTCGCGCGTTCGACGCGATCGATGCAGTCGAAAGCATGCGCATCGATCGTCGAATCGCGCGACCGAAAGCGCTGCCGTCGCGAAGTCTGAACGCTGCCTTAGTGGGAGTGATGCCAGCACCTGTTTGAGACAAGACCAGCAGAGACGAGGGATGTGGTACAATTCTGCGTAAAAATCCTTTCGCTCGCACCTCTCTTTTTCTGGACCAGACTGTGCCCAGCTGCTGTCGCCGTGCCACAACAGCAATAGGTGCAACAATCATTCTCACTCCAGAGTGTGATCGCAGCGTAATTAACAAGCATAAT